ATACCTTGGGCTGATTGCTCTTCTCTCTGGCTTCCTGGCTTTTAATCCCCTTTCTCCTGCTCTTCCCGCTTGCTACTTCAGGCATCTCTGAGTTGTCTCTCCTCACCTGTAACCCTGGGGCTGACTGCTCTTCTGTCCGGGTTCCTGGCTTTTATCCCCTTTCTCCTGCTCTTCCGGCCCCTAGTCTGCTTAGTCTTATCCAATGCAACACTTTCTCCACACTGTAGCCAGAGTGAGTTTTCCAAAATCAAATCTAATAATGCCAATTGCCCTGCTTCAAGACTTTCTAATCTCAATTTCTACTGTTTTAAAACTTGAAAGTATCAGCACTCCAGGGTTTCTGACACCACTCAAGGTTTCCCCTCTCCTGTTCCTCTTAAAGATGTAGTTCAAGTACCAGGAGAAGTAAATACATGATCCTGTAGCATTCTGAGAGAAAGTCTAGCCTCACAGGGACGCAGAGCTCTCCCTCCTGGTCCTCAGATGTCGACCGCTGTGCTTACCATGCATCTGCCTGGGCATCTCTGACTGGGCTAGCCTATGGCCTGTTCTCACCACAGACACAGCTCTAAGGTCTGTTGTGACTCGGGTGTATGCCCACACTGGCTGAGACGGATACACTGTATGTTTCTATTACAACTGGTTTATCCATTCTCCTCTTGATGGCCATGTGGGCTATTTCAATTTGGAGGTATTATAAATAGAGCTGTTATGAGTATGTACTCCACCCCCACCCCCACCACTCCAAAAAAAAAACCCTCCAAAACACTTTTTAATGTCTTCCTCTGCAATGCAGCTCAAAAGAACCTTCATCTTGAATGCCCAGCTGTCAATCCAGGCTCTCCATCACTTACTACCTCCGTGACCTTGAGCAATGATTTAATCTCTCTGTTCCTCAGAACATATAAAATTAGGATGTATATTATAAGATTATCATGGGTACATAAGAAGATAGTGTATAATTAGAGCTTCACACAGTGTCTGGTATGAACTAATGGGTCAATAAATGCTAGATTAGTGTTTTGTAGAAACAGGAAATTGCTGATATCTGACTATTGTGACCTACATAAATGTAATTTCATATATTTCAACCTATTATTATTTTTGCTACCACTGCTCCCATTTCAGCCACATTGAACTCAGTTTGGTTCATCAAATACATTTCTTCAACGTCATCCTCTGTGGGGCAAACGTGCACTCACCTTCAAGTCTCAACTTAAAAGTGGACCATCACACACATAAACCTCCCTGGCCCGGGTGAGGAACTCCTGCTCTGTGCTCCCTAACAACTCCGAGCTCTCCCCAGTGGCATGTATCACACCACTCTTGTCTGTCTTCCTAACTAGACCACAGAGGTTCTTCAGGGTAAATAGGATGGTGGCATCCTATTTGCTGTCATAGACCCAAGACGTAGCCTGCAGCCTAGAATGTAGGTGGTGTTCAATTAATACGTTTTGGAATAATGGTTTAAATTTTTATTCAGTGCTGAATGAGAATAAAGTTACTTCCAGAAATTTTATGATCGATCTGAAAATAATCAATTTTCTTTGCTATCCACACTTTAGAGCAGTGTTTCATAAACTGTGATCTAAGACTTGATACAGCTCTTTCATGGAAAAATATGAGTCTGTTGTTAAATAATTTGGGGGATAAGAGATTAAAGAGAAGTTAAAAATTTTTCTTGACATAGGACTTCTCAGCAATATGGCAACATGCACAGTGAATGTTGAACAGGGAGATCTAATATGTAGTGTTTATCACACTTACTTGAGTTGTTGTTGTTGTTGGAACTCCTTTTCTCACAGAGTACCTATAAGCATTTATCGAACTTTAATATTCTACAGAATGCATTTTGAGAGAATTCTGATACAAGGTGATAATACAGAACTTGGAAGCCCAACAAAATTCATTATCTGACTTCCTTAGCACTAGTGAATTCTAAAATGAAACTGCCAGCTATGTAGATTCCAAGGATCTTGTTCTCTAGACTCCAGAAAGCATTGTAAGCAAGAGTAAATAAATATTTATCTATGGAACTATGTAAGAGACCTCCTAATACTTACATTCTTGTGATGACCTATGTCGGAATGTGAATCTTATATGGCAGCGTGTGACCTCTTCTATAGCAATGGATACCTGCATAATTATAAAGAATTTAATAGTTTATATTTATACAGTACTTAATACTCCTAGTTAATTTTAGAGAATTAGGTTCAGTTTTAGAATTTCAATACAGCACAAACTTTCTATAGAGTAATATTTGGCATAATATTTCATTCAAAGGAGATTTTGCTATTTTCAAACCAAAACAACCTCAAAAGATTGTCTTCACTCTTTATTCATAGATTCTCAGTATGGAGACATTACAAGTTTCTAGAATTTTCTTCTGTATGAACCAGAAAATATTTCTGAGAGAAAAAAATTGATACTTTGTGGTTTATATGGAACCTTTCAGACTGCAAGGAGTATACTGATATGGTAATACTGATATGGTAATACTTGGAGTCTATAATAGAAGGCATTTGACTGCTAACCAGAAGGCTGGTGGCTCAAACCCACCAGCCACTCCTCAGAAGGAAAACTGGGCAATCTATTTCTGTAGAGATACCGCCTCAGAAATCCAAGGAGGGGTTGCTATGAGATGGAACCGACTCGAAAACAGTGAGTTTTGAGTTATAATAGGAGTCCTTGGGTGGTGCAAATGGATAATGTACTCAATTGCTAACTGAAAGGTTGTTGGTTCGAGTCTACCCAGAGGCACCTTAGGACAAAGACCTGATAATCTACTTCCAAAAAGTCAGCCACTGAAAACCCTTTGGAGCACAATTCTACTTTGGACACAGGGGGTCACTATGAGTCAGAAGTGATGGCAACTGGCTTTATAATAGGAAAAAAAAAAAAAAAAAAAAAAAAAAACACCTCATTGCCATTGAGTCTTTTCTCACTTACAGTGACACCCCCCCATTGGGTTTCCAAGGCTGTAAATCTTAATAGAAGTAGATCACCCTGTTATAAATGAAAGAAAAGACAAAACAGGAAGTTTTTTGATAAAATACTAAGGAAAATTTTTGCTGCTTGTGTGTATAAAGGAAGCAGGGTAAAATAGGATCATGGGGCAATGAAAAAGTGAAAAATCCACGATGCATTGTTGTTGTTATGTGCCGTCAAGTTGGACCCGATTTATAGCGACCTCTCCTTGTGTTTCTGAGGCAGTATCACTACGGAAGCAGATTGCCCCATCTTCCTTCCGAGGAGTGGCTGGTGGGTTTGAACTGCCAGCTTCCTGGTTAGCAGTCAAGTGCCTTAGGCAGAATAGTTAAATACATTTTGGCATGATTATATATAGTAGAATATTAAGAGATTATTTAAAAATATGATTCTGATGAACTTTTAATACGTTGAGATTTAAAAAAGCAAGGTATAAAACTGTATAAATAGCATAATTTAAAACATATAAAGCATACAAAATTTTTTCAAATGGATTGACTGATACACCAGTTTGGGTTTGGATTTTGAATTGAAGTATTAATGCCATTTTTATGAAATTTCTATGAAGAGCTCATATGACTAACAATCAGAAAGAGCTGATGGAACCTGGGTTCAGAAGAAGTGGGCTCTAGTGTAGGCTCTGGCAGCAAGTAGCTATAGGTTGTTAGGAAGTCACTTAACTTCTGTGAGTCTTAGCTGCCTACTCAGAAAGCAGACATTACAATAGCTTATTATAGTCACAAGGCTACTGTGAAGAACAAATGAGATGACAGGTCTGAAAAGCACTGTGAAATTTGTCATACACATTTAACTCAGAAAAAAGCTCAGAAAACTTGGTGAGAGGCCAAGAAGAAAAAAATGTTAGGAAATTATTTTCAGAGTGCAACAGAGTGTAAAATCTTCCATTTGGTTATAGACTATCGTGGCAGCCTAGTTACATCATTACAGCTACGAGTTTCTCTATTTAAATCCCCACAAATTTATGAATGAAAATGTTTATTCTCTGAGTTTATTCAAGATAAGTTGCTCTTACACAGAATTATCATTATCAAAACATTTCTTAGTGGACAATATAGACAACCTATCTAGAACTTCAGGATGAAGTAGAAATGCTGGTGGATAAAAGCAAGGTAAGGATCTCAAAGAGGTTTATCATTCGGCAGGAGCTGCAAATGGTACAGTCTCACCTTAACCGTCTCATACCAACAGGGCTGCTTGACTTGGTAGTAGACTACTGACTTGTACTCTGAAATTCCTTCATATCCAGCACCAGGATGAATTGCTTTCTTTGGAAGAGAATAAAAAAATTAGTAGGAGATAATATTAAGAGTAAGAGCACTTCACATGTCATGCACATGCCTGACACTGGCCCACATAAGCTAAGTCAAGTCAAGGGTGAAGAGTAGAGTAAGATCAATATTCTACAATTTTATCTGAGGGTCTATCTCTATAACCCTGACAGCAGTGAACAGACCCAACACCATATTATGGCACCAAATTATTTCATCCTCTCTTATCCTCAGCTACACATTCTCCTTTGTCTTTCTTCTTCTATTCTCTCTTGGGCAACAGAGGTGCAGTATTGTGACTGGGGGGTGTACCATATGTGCAGACATACCACTATTTGAGGAAAATGACTTCCTCCTGATTACATTCTGCTCTGAGGATGTGGTATATAGCTACAGCATGTTAACTCAAACTAAAGGCTGGATCTTATCCTAGTAATGCACTACTTAGTTCAGGAGAATAAAACCTTGGGGGACATTTCCAAGCTAGTTTTAAAAATCTAGGATATAACCAACTAGGAGAAGCGTATTTGGAATGAGTTCATGGGGCTCAGGGCTCCAATACAACAGCACCATATATCACTCCCTGCTGAAGCCCAAAGCATTCTGCTTACCCCTGTAACACAGAATACAACTTGATTTAGTCAATTGTTTGGCTGTGCTTCCTTCAAAGATTATAAAATCCTTGAGAACAGTGAAGGGATGTGCACTTAATCGTGCTCCTTAACTACCTATGCAAGAAGGCACTCAGTGAGGTTTATTGAACTAAGGGCTTGATTCCTGGATTCCAAAGCAGCTAACTTTGCCTATTATAAGAGAAGGAAGATTTCAGATGAAGCAATGGAGGCCTTCTGTACTCATCCCCTTTCTATCCTCCTCTTTGATGTCAGAAGTCAATACTTATTTCTTCTATATACGAACAGAATACTACAGGTGAGGGGATTCTGCCATCAACTCCTGTGCTGTCTGGAGAAAATAACCAATCTTTTTTAGGCTGGAGTTTCCCGATTATTAAAATAAAAAAGCAGTGATAGTTGATCTTTAACCAAGGTCTCTTCCAGTTTAACAGTTCTATAGTGGGCATATCTCCCATGGTTCTTTTTTCCCAGGAGAAGGAAACATGCCTTCAACTACCTCATGTGCACTCATATCTCTTCACTCAAGACCTGGAGGATCTTAGCAGGCTGGGCAGTGGCTAAATAACTTGAAAATGATAAAGAACCTCCACATCATAGCTTATACATGAAATTATTAGTAGCCTGAGATATTTCTTAACATAGAAGAAATGTGAAAATAAGAATCTAAACGGGGATATTAGCAAAACAAGTAATTGCGAATCACAAATTTAACAAGTTTCTTTTATTTTCCTTATGAACTACACACCTAACTTAGAGAAAAATTATAACTGATCAAACATCGTCTGCTATTGTACAGAAGTATCTGACAGCCGCAATATTTCCAGGCGATGCCGCATACCTCTAAGAGCTTGCCGTCCTCATCATATACAGACATGGTCACCTCCACATTCTTTGGTGTCTTCTTTTTCCCTTTGTCAAACTCTCCATGGATCAGGGTGACATAAATATCGTTCCGAACATCTCCTACAACATAAAAAACCGTCCTGAGTGTTGCTGAGAGATGTCATTTCTAAGTTGCAGGATGTGATGATATAAAATGTATGTAAAATATGAAATAGTTTGAAATTATAATGAACTATTCATACAGAAAAAGTCTTTTACAGGTAGTGCTCTCTTTAGTTCTCTTCAGCTTACCTGATTCTACCTTTCCATACCTACCAAGATTTTGTTGAAGTATAGTTTTTCTTTTGAAATGACTCTTTTTAATAATAATGCTTTGCAATTTATCAATAACTGTTGTCTAACAGTAAGTATACAATATATATTTTTATGTTTTATTTATTTATTTTCACAGTGTAGTAAGTACACAATATATATTTACTATGTTATAGTGACACAGTTTTTTCAATAATGTCTTAGAGAATGTGATATTTTATCTCTTCTGATAATAATGAAGGCTAATGTTTAGTGCTCACAGCCATCGGGTCAGACTCAACTCATAGTGACCCCTCCTTGGGTTTCTGAGGTGGTATCCCTATGGAAGTAGATTGCCCAAACTTCCTTCCAAAGAGTGGCTGGGGTTTGAACCGTCAACCTTCTGATTAGCAGTCACATGCTTTAGATACTTAGCATAGGCAATCTATTTCCGTAGTGATACCACCTTGGAAACCCAAGGAGAAGTAGCTATGAGTAGGGTCCAACTCGATGGCACATAAGAACAACAGCAAGAATGTGTTCAAAAGAAAGCAAAAATCCTCACGACTGGACCAATAAGCAGCACCATGATAAATGGAGAAAAAGTTGAAGTTGTCAAAGACTTCATATTATTTGGTTCTACAATCAACACCAATGGAAGCAGCAGTCAATGTATAGCATTGGGTCAATCTGCTGCAAAAGACTTCTTTCAAGTGCTGAAGAGCAAAGATACCTCCTTGAGGACTAAGGTGTGCCTGACACAAACCATGGTTATTTTCAATCACCTCATATGCATGTGAGAACTGGACAATGAATAAGGAAGACCAAAGAAGAGTCGATAGTTTTGAGTTGTGGTGTTGGAGAAGAATGCTAAAGGTACCATGGATCACTAAAAGAACTAACAAATCTGTCCTGGAAGAAGTGCAGCTGGAACACTCCTGGGAAATGAGAATGGCCAGACTTTGTCTCAACTATTTTGGTCTTGTCATCAGAAGGGACCATTCCCTGGGAAGGATATCATGCTTGGTAAAGCAGAGGGTCAACGAGAAACGGTAGGGCCCTCAACAAGATGGTCTGACACGGTGGCTACAACAATGGGTCCAGGTATAGCAAGGATCTTGGGGCTGGCACAGGACTGGGCAATGTTTTATTCTGCTGTACATAGGGTCACTATGAGTTGGAGATGACTGGATGGCACCTAACAACAACACTATGTGTCTGACACTGTTCAAAAACTTACATGCATTAACTTAATCTTCATAACAATCTGACAAGATAGATATTATTTCTGCAAGTCCACAGTCCTTTATGTTTATTCAGATGAGCTTAATTGTTTTTACCAGTACCAAAAGAATTATTGCTTGTGATGTTTTTGTAACCAGTCAAAAAATTTAAAAATTAATTAATTAATAAATGTCTAGTCCCCATAGCAAAGAAAAAGTTTATATTTTACTTAGGGACATAAAAGAAACCTGGAAAAAATGAATGGCAAATCAAGTTCTTGTATGGGAAAACTCCATAATGTGAAAATGACTCCAAAATATGTATTATACTAAATTGCTTCTCAGTGTAAAAGTTAAAACCTTACCACACTGTAAAATAAGTAGGGCTATATATTTAGATTACTGTATCATTTTAATCCCTTACTCAATTGGAAAAAAATTAAGTTACAACCCACAGTTGGAGAGGGTAAAGAAAATGAGGCTTGTTCATATATTGTAGTTTGAAATCTTAATACAACCTTTTTGTGATGAACAAATTGATAATTTATATGAAAACCCAGAATTGACCCTGCAATTCCACTGACAAAATTTCTCCCAAGGGTTTAAAAATGTGGCTAATGATCTCTTGATAAGGATTTTCATTTGGTGTTGCCTATAATTTCCCTTCACTATTACAGAGGTTAAGAAATTAAATGATTGAATGCACAGAATTCAAGAGAATACATATGCAGATCACCAAGATGTTGTGGAAAAAAAAAAAAGATGAAACTAAAGTAAGAAACTGCAGAATGTTTATATTCTTGTCATCACAAGAATAGGGAGAGCCAAGAACACAGTTGGAACTTTAGGAACTGGAGCAGAAGGTCCAGCTGTTACTGAACCAAGCATGCACCACTCTGGGGTTTCCTCAAAAGGAGCACATAATGCTAGTGATGTAATAATGGGAAAAGGCACATGCAAATGGAGTAAATTAGTCTCAGGGGCAGAGAACCCTGCGCTATCATTAGCTCTTCTTAACAAAAGGTCTAAGGAAACATTTGGAAGGGGTTTGTGCAGGATACAAAGGAAGAGAGAGTGAACAGAAAATTTTGAGTTACATTTAAATGCATGTATTTGCATTTAAATGCACATCTATGGCTGGGTAGCATTTAGGGTACTACTACCCTATTTGTATCTCCTACTGTCTTGGTTCCAGTAAATGCAAATAACAACATAAATCTTATAGATATATGTTGTCTCAATTGTCCTGTTAGAAATAAGTGTTGCAAGGACGGAGACGTAGAGGAAGCAGAATAGGTGAGTCAAGCAAAGTGGTTACCTGGTAGGATTATCTCAGGAAAGCCCATTTTTCGGGCTATTGATGTTGATCTGTCAACCAAGTGTGAAAAATTCTTCTGAACCTGTGTCAGGTCACCTGGCATTAGCTTCAAGGACACCCAAAGTCCTTTAAAGAAATGAAAGATAAACTTTTAGTTTGCTGTATGAGATATATTAAAAAAACCCACACACAAATGTTGAGAAATATATATGAGTTGTATAATGATTAAAAGTACCTAATTATAAAGATTTAAATTCTTCTTATGTTAATGACACTCCTTTCAATATGAAAAGAGTGAACAGTCAAAAAATTTTAGGGGAAAAAAGGAAGGATAACCCTTACCAGATATCAAAATGGATTATAAAGTTATAATAATGTGTGTGATACTAGTCATAGAAAAGGTATGCAAATGAACAGAAACAATGTGATTAAATACTTAACACTGTAACATACACTAATTTAATATATGGTAGGGAGCTCTGGTAGCATAGTGGCTAAGACACTTGCCTGCTAACCAGACAGCTGGCGGTTCAAACCCACCAGCCACTCCTCGGAAGGAAGGTTGGGCAATCCTACTTCTGTAGTGATACTGCCTCGGAAACCCAAGGAGGGGTCGCTATGAGTCGGGTTTGACTCGACGGCACATAACAACAACAACAAAGGAGACATAACAAATCATGAAATAAGAAACAGTAATTCCATAAATGTGCTGGGATAATTACATTGCTAATTCAAACAGAATAGACTTCATCTCTCACCTCACATTTCAATAAAACAAATTCCTAATATAATAAAATTAATAGAAACAGAAATAGGAAATTAAAAGAAAAAAATATGTGTATAGCTATTAAATCAGAGAAAGACTCTTTCTAAGTATAGAAATAAAATGATGAAATTACAAAGTAAAAGAATTAGCTATATACAAACTATAAGTTTTGATATGCATAATACATGCAAGTTATAGTACAAAATGAAGAAATAAGAATTTATGAAAGAAAAATATTACTCTTTATTACATAAAGAATTTATACCTATTAGAATAAAAACATGAAAATATTCATAAAATATAGGATAGGAAAAAGACAAATTATAAAGCACAAGAAGCTTATAAATATTTGGTAAATTAAAAAATTGGAAAAATATGTGTCCTAAATATGACAAGAAGAATATAAATACATCTGAAAAGCACTTGCTTTCCTGTTAAGTGGAAGTTAAGAGATGGCACATTTAAAAACTTTATTAAAAAAGAAAAACTATACATATACAGCAATCTAATGTAAGCATTTTTAATCTAACTAAAATTACATCCTTAGGTTATAAGTTCCAAAAGAAGAAAAACATATTTAGATACTTGTTTTAAGATTCTTTTATGATTCCTCACATGTCCTTCCCATTCAGGGTAATTGTGAATACATGGGAAACACTGAGTAGTGAAAAAAAAGTGACCGCATCCTCAAAATATCCAAAAAAGAGTCATCATCTTAATATTTGAATTTTAAACTTAAAATTTCTTTCCTTATTATTTGAATTTAAAACATAATTTCACTATCTTGAACTTATAGTTAAAACTGTGTCAGTAAGAGGCTGTATAACCAAACCAAACTCACTTCCATCGAGTCAATTTTGACTCATAGTGACCCCCACTTTGGGTTTCCAAGGCAGTAAATCTTTAGGGAAGTAGATTGCCCAGTCTTCCTTTGGTGGAGTGGCTGGTGGATTTGAACCACCAACCTCATGGTTAGCAGTCAAATGTCTTAGGCATGATGCCACCAGAGCTCCTTAAAAGGCTGTATGGTGGTACTTAAAACAGCTAAAAATAAATTGGATAGCCATTATTTTCTATGAATACATATTCATTCATATCACTTTGCTCTTTTTCTTCTCTATTTTAGGAAATGTAATGGGATAAACCAGTCAGAGGATAGTAGATAATTATCCCCCAAACTCTTTTTCTGTGTGCATAAACCCAGATTCAGCAATGAGAAGGTACCAAAAACTGAAACCAAACTCACTGCCGTCGAGTCGATTCAACTCACAGTGACCCCACCCCTCGTTAGGTTTCCGAGGTGGTATCTCTACGGAAGTAGATTGCCCAATCTTCCTTCCAAGGAGCAGCTGGTGGATTTGAACCACCAGCCTTCTGTTAGCAGTCCAATGCCTTAGGCACTACGCCACCACATAAGAAAAGACTCCTGGGGTAAAAGTTTGTTGCACAGAATTTACAAAATACAACTGTGATCCAACTCACTTCTGAGTGCACTCTCACTGCTTTTCACTATTAAATACCTTTAAGCAAGAGATTGAGGTGGGCAGTCCACAGCAGGGACTGTTTTGCATCAGAGAAAGATTATGGAAGGCCAGGAGTTCAAGGACTCATTGTTGTTGTTGTTGTTATTTGCCATCGAGTTGCACCCGATTCATAGTGACCCCTCCTTGGGCTTCTGAGGCAGTATCATTACGGAAGTAGATTGCCCAACCTTCCATCCGAGGAGTGGCTGGTGGGTTTGAACTTCCAGCCTTCTAGTTAGCAGTCAAGTGCCTTAGGCTCTAGGCTACCAGTCTTTCTTATAAAGAAATGTGATTAAATACTTCCACCCAGACCACACTCCCACCGAAGCCCCTTCCCAGCTTAGTCCATAGGGCTGTGTACCTTGTCCTTTGTGATTCACTTCCTTTGCTGCTATCACTTTATTCAAGACTGAAGTGAGTGGCTCATTCTCCCCAATCACATGGGATGTTATCAAGGGTGACATGATTAGCTGCCTCTGTCGGATATAGGTTTCCATTGCAATTCTGGGAAAGATAGAAAAGAGAGTTTTAAAGGGGGTTGTGAGGAAGCAGAAGACTATAGCACATTTGGAAACATAATGCCAAACACTCCTAACCAAAGGGCTCTTTCTTCCTCTATGTTCTACCTTAAACATCTGCCTATCTTACATATTGATTCATCTTGGAATCGACTCAGAGCAAACAAAAACAAACAAAACTGAGGGTGAGGCACAGGCAATACCTGATGCTCTTTATGATGTAAGAGAGACTGCTCTAACAGAATTGACAGGGCTAAGGAAGGGCAGGGGACCTGCCCTCTGGTTCTGTGAAAGTCTTCTCTCTGGGCCTCAGTTTCCCCATCTGTAAGGAGATGGGCTTGGATCATATGCTTTCTAAGGCTCCCATCCAGCATCAACACTCTATGAGAGAAATATGTACGCAGCTGTGTTTGAAAGACTTGTTCTTAGAATCCCATGTGATGACAGAAGACATTTAGGATTGAAGTAAATCAAGCATCAGCAAACAAATTTCACTTCTGTTATCACATCAGGTTCAGGATCATACACTGTGTTCAATGAACTAAGCACAACCTCCATTCTATTGACAACAGAAATGCTATCAGTAATTGCATATAAGCCTGATGCAGTACAACAGTTTCCAGTCTTCTTTGCTCTGGTTTTGTTCTCTTCCCCACTACATATTCCAAATTTCTCTACAGGGTTCAGGTCTCTACTCTGACCAAATCCAAAACTAAACCCACTGCCACTGAGTTGGTTCTGACTCACAGTGACCCTTTAGGACAGATTAGAACCGCCACATAGGATTTCCAAAGCTGTAAATCTTTCTTCCATGGAGTGGCTGATAGGTTCGAACCACCAACCTTTTGGTTAGCAGTCGAATGCTTTAACTACTGTGCAACCAGAGCTCTTTTATCTTCTGACAACACAGGGAAAATATACTGCAATTATGTTATTTTGAAAGCTGTGATTGCTACACTGAGTGGGTGTTTTTTTTTTTTTTTTTTTTTCCCAAATGAGTCTCTCAAGGTGATCAGTAGAATACACACATAAAACCTTCCTATTGTAATATACTATAAAGCTTTTGAGGAGTTCTGGTAGCATAGTGGCTAAGACACTTGCCTGCTAACCAGACGGCTGGCGGTTCAAACCCACCAGCCACTCCTCGGAAGGAAGGTTGGGCAATCCTACTTCCATAGTGATACTGCCTCGGAAACCCAAGGATGAGTCGGGTTTGACTCGACGGCACATAACAACAACAACAACATAAAGCTTTTGAGGTAGCTTGTGAAAGCATATGCCATAAATTTTAGGAGTTAAACGCCAGAGGCTGCAATTTGTATTATGAACACTTCACAGTAGTTGGTGCAGTGAGTGGTAATCAGATTGGGACTGGGATCCTCAGAAACACAAACATGTACTGCTTATAGGGGAACCAATCCCAGGGCTCACAGTTTCAACATGGCCACTGAAGGATAAGTGGGGCTCAGAAATTACACAGAGAAGCACAGAACTAAAGAAAGAAATTGATCTCAATGATGAAAACAAATGTGTGCATGTACGCAATCGAAGCAGCTTTCATGGACATACGACTTACCTCAAAATTCCTATTAGCAACCAAGTTATAGAAAATATTTATCTATCTGACCATATTCTTAGAGGGTCAGTATATGGGTGAGAGGAGACTACACAACTATATATTTTAAAAATAATTAATGGCAGCCTCTGGATGAAAGGCAGAGTACTATATATAATTGTTACCTGTATTATCATATTTAGAAAGTTACCTTTCAGTAAAGGTGCTAGACTTAAATTTGAAATACTAGAATTTTTAATATTTTAACTAAAATTCTATAAAAAATACATATACATATTTGTTGAAGAAAATAGAGATAGACAAAAAGAGCAAAATCACCTGTTGCTTCATCAACAGAAATAATTACTGTTCATTATGTAACATGGACTGTGTGTTCCTTGAAAAATCTAAATTTTAAGGTGTTTAGTATATAGCGGCAGTGATGGCAGTGGGTTTGGTATCTCCTGATAAGCAATGTATGCCAGTTTCCTGCATCCACCCAAACCCTGGAATCTTACATATTTCTGAAATGTGGTCAAGCCAAAAACTGAACCTTGTTTTAGTTTCCATTTCATTGATTCTCATGAATTTATAGGCCATTTCTTTGTGTGGTTATGTAAATTTCCATTTACTGAATTTCTAGAAATTCTTTGCATATTAATAATTCTCATCCTTGTTCATACATATTAAAAATATCTTATTAACTCTTTTCTCTAAGTTTAAAATTTAAAATGGTTAAGCCTAACAATTTTTCCTTTTTGTTAAATCTTTGGTATCTGGCTCAGAAAGGCCTCCCCACACACCAATATTCCAAATAAAAGTAGAAAACTTCTATTCCCATATGGTATTTTAAGATTTTAGCTCTTATCTTTAATCATTTGGAATTATACCAAAACTACGTAAACTGTAAGATAGGCTCTAACTTATGTTTTCTTAAAGATTAGCTAATTTGTATATATAATTTATCCTTCTCCAGTGATTTGTAATATTATTTTTTAAAAAAATCATATATGAACTCAAATGTCTTTGGGCCTATTTCTGGAATTATTGGTTTATTTTACTCATTTGTTATGGCAGCTTCAACTTAACTGAGACAATGGACTTGTCTAACTGACAGAAGTTAGGAGTCAGTTACAGCAAGGACACCAGTCTCACCTAGCCTGCCACCCTGTGCTCAGAGTAAGTGGACTATGACTGCTACAGTCCAGTTCACACAGGCATTTCTTTAAAGTTACTGGGATTTAGATTTGCGGGTCTTAGAGGAGCTCTGTGGAATGATCCTTCCACATACTCTCAGGCTGCCTTTCCCTTCACTTATGGAAACCCACAGGCTAGTCAGCCCTACACTCTACCTCCTAAACCTTGCTACTGAAAGTGTGGTCTCTGAACCAGTACCATCATAACCTGGGAGCTTGTTAAGATGCAGACCCCAGACCTAATGAATCAAATTTTGCATTCTAACACAATCCCAGGGTGATCTGTATGCACATTACAGTTTGATAGCACAGTCCTACCCTGTATGATTCCTTGTTTTCTCCCTCATCCATATGACCCCTGTTCCATCCCTCTTCCAAAATGTGCAGACACACTGTGTATATTTCCAACCCTTACTTAGCACCACTCTCTGGTTCCCAGTGCAGACAAAGATTGGCCCCTTATTTTCATATTCCTTTGGTCATTTCTATCGACAAGAAATGTCAGTTAGAGTCTCTTAACTTAGAGTCCAATACAAAGAACTCTGAATGAAGTTTTCTGTCAAACTCTTATCTGACAATTTTCCAGTTTTAAAGTTTCCATTCCCTAACTAAGAAAATGATTCTTAGCACCTGGGTCTATGTTAGCAAACCATTCAAACAGCTAATAAAGGTCTCAAGTCACCCAGGACAAATGCCAAGTACTTACTGTTGAAAGGGAATAAAATGCTGCTTTTCTTCATCGTCCACCTTCCCATGTATGATATCAGTAATATCCATCACTAAGAAAAAGATAAGCTTAATTAAAGGAACTAACTGCTTCATGCCTCAGTAGGCTACTATGGAAAAAGACGGTATCAGTACACATAGACCACGAGAGTAAGAAAGATATGAAGCATGAGGTTACTCTTATTTCTATGCCAGCGATGATTCCCAGTGTACCTGTGCAGCAGAGGAGCAGTTCATCAGAGGCTCCAAAAGGGCTTTGAATTTTCTCAGATCAAACCTGCAGACTACCCTTTCAGAAACGCTAAGAGACTGCTCACAAGTTGCTAAGTTCTTGAGAAACTTGAGACTGGTAATACTTTTTCGTCAGCCTTCATTCAAAGCCACGGAGAACACATATTTTGGCAGAGATGTCAATAAAATTAAAGACCTGGGAGAGAAACTCAAGACTTGAAGTGGGCAACTGTCTCTTTTATTTGACACATGCTCACCTGGTTTCCACAGTCCCCAACTTACAATGCATTTGAGTTATGAAGAACTGCACTTAACTACCGTCTGTTTTTTACTATTTAGAATGTTGCAGTGTTTAATTTGCTGATGTCATCATTCTAAGATGCTCACTCACAGATGTTTATATGTAATGTTTCCAACCCCCAAAGACAGACCCAATTTGTAAAGATCCTGATAACTCATAGTGACCCCTCCTTAGTTTCTGAGGCAGTATCACTACATTAGTAGATTGCCCAATCTTCCTTCCAAGGAGTGGCTGGCGGGTTTGAACCACCAGCCTTCTGGTTAGCAGTCAAATGCCTTCGGCACTATGCCACCAGAGCTCCCAATAAGAGGCAGTAATAATGAAACCTAAAAAAAAAAAGACGTATTTGACTTATGTCAGAATCAACTTACAGTGGAGTTGTAGCTTGGGGATGAAATGAAGGGAAGCCAGGGCAAAGCAGCACAGAATACAAGTTTACAGAGTGCTTTATGTCTCTAGACCTAAGAGGAGCACTTAATAAGGCACTGTTGTAATCCTACTGCAATTACACTAAAACCTGTGAAAGCTGGAACCTGTGTAAGCGGAAAACCTGTCAGAGAAGGAAAATTAAAATATTTTCCACTAAAATGAGCAACAGAAAAGTGCTAAGATTTCACTCTGTCAAAGGAGAAACACTTGAGAGACCCAGAAAAGCAGGGCAATCTTGTTGAGTTATGGCTCTCACAGGTTTCACTATATTAACTCATACACATAGATATTATTATTAGCTCTACTTTAAGAGATGAGGAGACTGAGGCACAAAAAGTTAAATAACTTGCCCAAGGTCAGAAGTTTTCCATGGTAGAGCCAGGGTATAAACCTAACAGTGGCAACAGAGCCAATCCACTTAACCATGAAGCCTACAGAACTAATGAGCAGCTGCTATCAAGCTGTTGAGATTAGACAAGGCCCATGGCAAATGTGATTGATCCCCTTAATAAACGACAATCCAGCCATGAAACACATCAACAACCCATTGCCCTGTATATATGCAGATTAAAAGAAACACTGACATACGAGTCAAATTCTCAAATGAAAAACGAAGGATAAGGGAGAAATATCTTCTCAAGGGAACCCAAACAACATAAGTAATAGTAGGGGAGATAGTAATGTTGGTGAAAGGAAGCTGTAGAAAGTAGAGCATGACATTCAAGTTGCTGTTAGTCCTTAACAGTACTCTACAAAAAGTGTAGGAAAAAATACTGCAACACTTTTATTTGACCTCCCAAAATAGGAAGTTCGTTTGTCAATGCCATCATCTAGTTATTCCTAACCTCTACTGACACTCTGCAGCAAGGCTCAGAGTAAATTGGTCTCCTTTTCATTGCTACCACACTCAACAAATGCCAACTCACACACACACACACACACACCATGAAAAAGAAAAGCAAGCAAAAGTCTCAAAGCTGATGCTTGAGTTTCTATGGCCTATTTCGAAGGACACTGGCTTTGGGTATACCTCAATTTCTTTGTGGAAACAATAACAAGATTGCTATATAGATAGTAAACAGTACTAGGCCATGGCTGCCTTGTCTTTTCTAAGATTCCATTCCAAATCCCTATAAAGAAATAATGCCTGCCCTCTAGTCACAGACTGGCAGACCTTGAGCAGCACAGTGCAGCGCATGGCAGCTCAAAGGCTGTCCAAAGTGACACAGAGGTCATCAATATCTACGTTACCCTGAATACATGGAGTGTCCACGAGCAGAACTACAACATTCCATAGACAGCTTTCAAATGTGGGGACCAAAATGTTAATGCAAGAGCAAAAATCTGTTTCTTCAACTTAAGAAACTACAAAAGACTACATAGGGGGCTCACTGAATGTTCTGAGGTTTAATTTAAGCAAAGCATTCTCTTTAAGAATCCTTACAAAAATAACATTGCCTTTGAAGAATAAATTTCCTAAACAAACCACTTTCAAGGTAATATTTTATTCCACTAAAATCAATATGCAGCCATAGGCAGGAGGGTGGCAACAGTCACAAATGAGGCTTTACTGCAGTCCTGCTGAGTACAAGACAGTCTGCTAGACTCTAAGAGAGAAAGGAAAGAGGTTTAGGTGTAGATTAAAATATTAAAAAAAAAAAAAAAACAGAAACAGCTGCCTGAGTTGATGTTGACTCAGTGGCAACCTCAATTCCATGCGTTCATGCGTTTCAGAGTAAAACTGCAATCCCCAGAGCTTTCAATGCCTATGATCTTTCAGAAGTAGACTGCCAGGCCTTTCTTCCTAGGTGGATTCAAACTGCCCATCTTTCAGTTAGTAGCTAAGTGCTTAAGGACCATGCAGAGTGTCCAGATGGCGACAAATAACCCAAGACAAGATAACTGACAATCCATGGCAATAAATTCCTTATGCCTGGCATTGACAGTGAAACATGACCTGTTTTTGACCATCTCCCTGCCTTTCCTGTACCTGCTACTCCAAAAGGTCTTCGAAGTCCACAGGTATGCTTTTTGCCTTCCTTAAGTTCCATGTGGCCCACCCGGACAATCTGGCACACCAGGCTGATGCGAGGTCGGATGAGGTCAGAGCTGCTGAGGTCCTAAAGAGGCAAACAGAGAAGAGAAATGGGGAGGTTAAGCTGAAATATCCAATCAATATCATTCTTCTTCTCTTTTCACTCTACAATGAAACACCATTCAGAGCTTATTTCCTAATGCTGAAATACCATCAAGGACTCCCTTCTTCTCGATGCCCATTCAAGAATTATTAGGGTATCAGAGAAAATTATCTTGTATTCATAAAAAAGGCACTTTTTTTTATTCTCCAGTTCCTATATTGAATTTAAAAATTATATCATATTCAACTTAAAGTCTCTGGTTTATAAATTTAAGTTGTTATCATTGTTAGGTGCTGTTGAGTCATCTCTGACTCATAGCGACCCCATATATAGCAGAACAAAACAGTGCCCAGTCCTGTGTTAGTCCCACAATCTTTGCTATATCTGAGCCCATTGCTGTAGTCACTGTGTCAATCCATCTTGTTGAGGAGCTTCCCCTTTTTCATTGATCCTCCACTTCACCAAGCATGACATCCTTCTCCAGAAAATGGTTCCTTCTGACAGCAAGAACAAAGTAGGTGAGTTTAAGTAGGGTGTTTAAAATCAGGACACTTATTGTTGCTACTTTATATCCTGCTAAGTCCTATCATAGAACAGGATGCATTTCAGTGTCAAATGAAGTAAAAACTTAGTTGACATTGACGTGTAATAGGTATCTGCATGACCATGCATTCCAAACAACCCTATGAGACAATTATAACATGGAACACCTTCTGAAATACTCATCTGTCATTATGAGTGGTATCCACTGAGAGATCCAGATGTTGAATAATGAGACTTGTGTAAGGTGAAATGTCTATTTGTTTTGCAGTAATTTTCTACAAACTCACTGCCATTGAGTCAATTCAGACTCATGGTGACCCCCTTTGGGTTTCCAAGGGGATAAATCTTTACAGAAGTAGATTGCCCAGTCTTCCTTCCATGGATTGGCTGGTGAGTTTAAACTTCCAGCCTACTGGTTAGCAGTCAAATGCCTTAGACAGTATGCCACAGAGCTCCTGCAGTAGGTTGTATTAAGGATGGGTGAGTAAACCCATGAATCAGTTCACATTCCCATTAGCATCAGAAATAATTAATTACAAAAAATAATACTATTAATTACATCTTAAACTCTTTTATGAAGTAGCTATCCAAGACCTCTTTTACTGACTCAATTACTACTTTTTAAATAATCATTCCAAATCCATCACCTATAACCCAGCAACAATGAGTGTCCATTGAAAACCCTATGGAACATATACCAATTATAATAACATTGACCCTAATCTTTTACTTGAAGTTTTGCAAGGCTTCTGTTAATAGAAAAATAAGGACTTCAGATGATTGGTTAAACAAATTATGGCTTATTTTTATCACTAATCATATGCAATCATTTTCAAAGTTTCGAAATATTTAATGACCAAGGAAATGTTTACCACATTGTATTTAATTGAAAAGGCTAGAAATGAAATCTATATACGAGATGATCCTAATTTGAGGAGTGGAGCAGGAGTTGGGAGGAGATAGCAGGATAATTATTTGCAGCTATTCTAAATGGTATTGATTAAAAGATGGACAAAAGACTAACCCTAATAGCTTGTTAATATATTTAATGTACAAATTGATAAATGCCTTTTGATTTTAGAAAAAAAAAAGATGATGACATATCTTAGAACTGAGGAAATATTCTGAGTTGAGGCGAAGGAGGTTTCTAGAAGATATCCATGGATCAAGCACTGGGACAATAACCAGAGCAAGACCGTTCTGTGGGTCAGCTATACGTGGAATAAAAATAAGCCTGTTTCAATCAATGTAATTGTTTAACAAATACATTAACTTCCAACAATTGGTATTTTTCTAATTATTCTGTTGTTGGTTTCTAAGCATATTGTATTTCTATACCACTCCTCAGAAGGAGGGAGCTCTGGTAGCTTAGTATCTGAGGCACTTGACTGCTAATCAGAAGGCTGGAGGTTCAAACCCACCAGCCACTTCTCGGAAGACTGGGCAATCTACTTCCATAGTGATACTGCCTCAGAAACCCAAGGAGGGGTCGCTATGAGTCGGGTCCGACTCGAGGGCAAATAACAACAACAACCACCTCAGAAGGAAGGTTGGACAATCTACTTCCGTAGTGATATTGTCTTGGAAACCCAAGGAGGGGTCGCTGTGATTCAGATCCGACTCCATGTCAGTGAGTTTGGGTTTTTTTGGATACTCACAGCAAACAAATGGAAAATAAAAAATATTTTTCACACTAACAAAATATTTGGAAATAATTTTTTAAATACATGAAAGAAGACTGAGATCTAACAAATGCTTCTGAGAAATATGAAAGAAAATCTAAATCAATGGAGAAATATCATGTTCATTGATTGGATGACTTAGTATTCTTTAAAATATCAAATCCCCAAAGTTTGATCTATACATTCTGCACAATCTCTATCAAAATCCCAACAGTATTTTTCATAGGAATTGGCAAGGTGATTTTAACTTTATAAGGAAAAGCAATTTGAAAAAGAATAAAGTTTGAGGAGTCACTCCTACCTATCACTTCCTTTAGTGCTTTACCTCAGACTCTCTTTTCCTTAGAGGCATAAGGAGATAAAACATAAGTGTGGATTCAGAGAGAAAAGAGAGTACCTCCTAGGTTCAACTGGCAGCTGGTGAAACCTGCTCACTCCAGGCTTCTAAAGCTCTAACGCCATTACAAAGAGAATCCTAAAAGAGTTCCTGGCCCAAGGGAAAGAACATCACGGCACACTCTCAACTATAGCCTCCAATATTTCCTTGCTCTTCATTCATTATAGCAGCACTCCTTCTACTTTGGAGAAGGGGTAGAAACAGAGGGAAAATGCATTAAAATATAAGCACACAAAGAAAAAAATCTAGACCACACCTTTGCTCCAACTGCAGCCTCAATTCAGAATGCTCTTTCCCCAGATGCTTTGTTTTATTGCACTTCTCTATTAAGCTTCACAGATACTGCTGGGGTTTTTGTTTTGTTTTGTTTTACAAATTACAAGCCTGTGGCAACCTTGTGTACAGCAAGGCTATCAGTACCATTTTTCCAACAGCATGTGCTGACTTTGTGTCTCTGTGTCACATTTTGGTAATTCTCACAACATTTTTCACAATGCTGTTGCACAGTGGACCAATAAACAACATCACGATAAATGGAAAAAAGGTAAGTTGTCAGGGATTTCATTTTCCTTGGCTCCACAATCAATGCCCATGGAAGCAGTGGTCAAGAAGTCAGACGTCATATTGCATGGGACATCTGCTGCAAAATACCTCTTTAAAGTGTTTAAGAGCAACAATGTCACTTTAAGACTAAGGTGCACTTGACCTAAGTTATGATATTTTCTATAGCCTCATATGCATATGAAAGCTGGACAATGAAGAAGGAAAACTGAAGAAGAATTGATGCATTTGAATTGTGATGTTGGCAAAGAATACTATATACACCATGCACTGCCAGAGAATGAACAAATTTATCTTAAAGAAGTACAGCTGGAATCTTCCTCAGAAGCAAGAATGGCCAGACTTCATCTCTCATACTCTGCTCATGCTGTCAGAAGGACCAATCCCTGGAGAAGAATATCATACTTGGTAGAGCAGAGGGTCAGCAAGAAAGGGGAAGACCCTTAACAAGATGGACTGACACAATGGCTTCAACAATGGTCTCATAGCAAGATTGTGAGGATGGCACCCCACCAGGCATTTATTCTGTTGTGAATAGGGTCACACCATGAGTTGGAACTGCCTTAACAGCACCTAACAACACTGCACACTTAAAAAACTACCACAACCCAAATCAAACCCACTGCCATTGAGTTGATTCTGACTCACAGCGACCCTTTTTAGGACAGAGTAGAACTGCCCCATAGGGTTTCCAAGGCTAGAAATGTTTACAGAAGCAGACTGCCTCATCTTTCTGCTGCAGAGTGGCTGGTGGGTTCAAATTGCCAAATTTTTCTTTAGCATCCAAATGTATGCTACAAGAGTTCCTTTGATAAACTACTGTATAGAGGTATAGTGTAAACATAACTTTTATATGCACTGGGAAACAAAAAAATTAATGTGACTCACTTTATTGTGATATTTGCTTTATTGTGGTGATCTATAAGTGAACCTGTAATATCTCCAAGACATGCCTGTATCTGTATAGCTAAGTCTCTCAACTTCAAGTTCTTGCTCAAACAACTCTTCCTTACCAATCTATTTAAAACTGCAACTCTACCCCAGCCTAGAAACTCTCAATTCCTCCAAACCACTTTTAATATTCCATGTAATTTACTTATTTATCTGATTATTGTTTATTACCTATCTTTCCCTAACTAGGACATAAGAGCCACGAGAACAGGGATTTTTGTTTGATTTGATCACTGATGCATCTCAAGTACCTAGACCTGTGCCTGGCACCCAAAGCAGAGCTCAATAATTAGTCAGCAAATAAATGAGTGGGTTATTCTTAATAGTGCAAGTATGATGGTATTTATTTTCATCTTTTAATTGTTTATGTTTTCTATATATTTATCATGTTCATCCACTAATATTATAAAACTAAGAAATTATAAAACTATAAGGTAGGACTTACAGTAAAGACTGCTTGAAGATTATTAAGCTTCTCTATTTCCTTGGGCATCCCATTACTGCCCCAACGAATCAGATAGTTCTCACTGGCAAAGAGAAAAAAAAAAAATTATTCCTAATGACAGGCTAACTGGGGACTTGACGCTGCCTTCAGTATAAATTGAAAAGCAATACAAGAAATACTTGGTTCAATTCAACAGCCAGGTATGAGTGTAGCAGTGGCAGGAACTGAAACCATGGAAATGACTACTAGCCACTCACTGGTCTCCTGGCTTGGAATAGGTACCTGCTGCAGCCCAACTCCATGAGGCATGTACAATATGGGAAAAACACTGCTTAAGATGGGGCACAGACAAAGAAGATCTTACTGGATTCTACTCTCTGGGGTTGATTTTTTCATCTCAAATCCTTTTTTAAAAAGATCCTACTTCGCTGAATCAAGAATTTAATCTTAAGAAAATAGCTTAGTGGCACCTGAAAAAGTTGAACATAAAACTATCATGTGACCCAGCAATCCCAATCCTAGTTATATGCCTAGAAGTGAAAGCAGGACTGGAAACAGAAACCTGTACACCACTGTTCGCTGCAACACTTTTCACAAGAGCCAAAAGGCATTCACAAAGAGGCACAAGAAACTCTGAAAGTGATAGATATGTTTATTATCTTGATTATGGTGATGGTTTCACAAATATCTCTGTATCAAAACGTACTCTTCAAATATGTGTAGTTTATTGTATGTTAACACTACAAAATTATTTAAATTTTTTTTAATTAATCTTATAATCATTCTGAATTGATCCCCTAAAACACATATACTCACGATCAAATGAAACTTCTGTTTTAAAAATAAGCAATTTTTCAGTAATTACTTTAAACCATCTTCTCAAAAATAAATTTACATTTTCTTAGCTTCTCAAAAGTAGCACCACTCTATGGCAATCATTCCCTGTAGAGTTCCTAGGTGGCATAAAAGGATTTGTGCTTCTCTACTAACCTAACCTAAAGGTTGGCAGTTTGAACTCATGGAGTCACCATGAGTTGTAATCAACCTGATGGCTTAACGTGGTGCCAACTGTTAAAAGCTTGGCTGCTAACCAAAAGGTTGGTAATTCAAGATCACTCAGTACCTTGGAAGAAAGGCCTGGCAACCTACTTCTGAAAAATCAGCTATTGAAAACCCTATGGAGCACAGTTCTGCTCTGTAACACACTGGGTCATCATGAGTCAGAAATGACTCAATGGCAACTGGTATAGTTTCTTACTGTTTCAACAGCATTACGTAAAGGCTTAATATCCCACAGGATTTTAGTTTTCACTGCCTAGAAATTCTCCCCCGCTTCTCTAGCTTCCCTTCTCAAACTTGGTAAAGAACTCCTTGAGCAGAGGTAAGTTAGGGTGGGTAGTTTTGCAAGGTCAACAGCAAATGATCTGGGGGCCACTACCTGATGAAAGTGGAGTGGTCTGGGTCATAGAGGGCCATGAACAGCTCTGCGTCTTCCCCAATGTTGCAGACAAAGTTCTTGAAGTTCACATAGAGCCCATAGGTATGAACTGTACTGAAGATCGACTGGCCCCGCAAGTCCATGTTCTGCAAAATTGACTGAACACAGAGAACAAGAAAAAACAGCATCTTGGTTTCAGCAAACAGGAAAGACTAGCAAAGAAATTAAGCCTGCAAATGGAGGACAAATATGATTACCACCCAAGAAGAGAAGCACTCACTGGGAAGAAAATGTATGTAAGTGGAAAAATGATCAAGTAAGCAAAATATAATCACGACTACTTAGATGCTCAAGACTGTTCTGTTAAGGGTCTTGAACCTAGGTAATTCAATAAATGTTGCCTGAAGGTAGTAACTCACTATTTTAGTAACTTCAAGAAGTTGTCTTTCACAAAGAAACTCAGATCTGGATGAAACTCAAAAGCACAAATAAATTATAATTTATTATCCCTTTTTATGGGAATAACTCTAATTAGAAACAACATATTCCACTAGAAAGGTTTCATCTTCAGGCATGGTTTTCCATGACATTCAGAAATATAATTAATTATCACAATTGTACTAAAGAAATAATAATTTAAAATTTTTAAAAAATATTATAGACTAAAGAAAATAAACAGAAACATTCAGTCAACATCAACACAGAAAGACTTGAGAAAATGTATCAAAATATTCATATGGTTGGGTCTGGGTAGTACAGTACTTTTCTACCTTTCTAATTTTTAGTGTCCAATTACTTATATAAAAATATTTCAAATACTTTATTTTTTAATTTCTTTTGGAAATTGTAATACATGCTCCAAACACAGAAAGTATCAAAGTTTCTCTCCCACTCAGTTCTCCTTTCCAGAGACATCTACTATTATCAGTTCCTCATCTATCATTCCAAGGTTAGTCTATAAGTATGCAAGCACAGATGTATTTATATTATCTTTAAAAATACAACTAGCATTTTATGCACTGTTCTGTATCTTGCTCTTTTTTCACTTAATACATATCTTTGTAAACCAAGCTTTCCACATCAGAACATGTATAGCTACTTCATTCTTTTTGTTGTTTCATTTTTAACATGAAGATAGGAATGTTATTTTCTAAACAACACTTCTGCCTATTATGAATAAATTCTTTTCTCTCATTAAAAACAAAAGCAAAAAAATGGAACTCAGTAGCCAAAGTGTGTACATTGTACATTTGAAAAAACATACCTTTTCTTCTTGGATCTTTTCCTCAATCCTTCTTGAGGCCATTTCATGGGCCTTGAAGAGGGCAACAGTGCTGGTTTCATCTGGGTCCAAGATGTTCCCATTGTCATCTCGCACCACCAGATCTAAGTCAAGCATTCTAGGAAGAAAACAGTAGTCAGCAGGTTCTTCTCACTAGGGTCAGACTATTTTTACTGAAGAATCCTGTTATGGACTGAATTGTGTCCACCCAAAATATGTGTTAAAATCCTAACCTATACAAGTTTCCCCTAATATCCAAAAGTAAAGCATTCCTATGAAACCTTTTGGAAGCTGAAATGGTGAAAAACGAACAAGCAATTACCATTCAATTATACGGGAAAAAATTGTGAGCAGTTCCAGACCCCAAAAATAACCTACCAAATCATATCAAATAACACATTAACCTAAAATAACACTAACATTTATTGTTCACAAGGAGGTCTAAGGCATTTTGACTGCTAATCAGAAGGTCGGCGGTTCAAACTCACCAGCCAATTCATGGAAGGAAGATGGGGCAATCTACTTCCATAAAGATTTACTGCCTCAGAAACCCAATGGGGGTCGCTTGGGGTAGAAACTGACTTGATGGCAGTTTATAGTGTTCACAGACACAACTCAAAGCTATGGTAGCTTGATGCTAAGATGCTGAATATAGTTTCCAAGGAAGGAGTTTGGCAATGGCACTTTCGCTGCTCAGGGTACAAGCTGCTGCTTTACTAGCTTGCTGCAAAACAAAGTCTGGATGCTAGTTTCATTTTTCACCTTTTTTCAAAGAAGTAAAAATCCCCATTGAGTTTCTTTCAATTAGCAAAACAGTACTAATGCAGATCTTTCATAAAAGTGAAATAGCATAAAGTGAACTTTTGAAAAATGAGGGATACCTTTACCTGTAAATATGACCATTTGGAAGCAGAAGTTTTTCCTGTTACGTTAATGAGGTCATATCAGAATAAGGTGCGTTCTAAACATAATCACTTCTAAATTATAAAAAGTACAAAATACACTCAAAGACATACACAGGGAAAAGACAGATGTGTCATCAAGCTCACAAATGCCCACAATTTCTGGCAGCTTCTAGAGGTAGAAGAGGCCAGGAAAGACCTTCCACTAGAGCCACACTTTGAACTCAGACTTCTAGCCTCCTGAACTATGAAAAAATAAACTTCTGTTCTTTAAGTCACTTGTGTAATTTCTGTTACAGGAGTAATAGTTAACTAAGACAAGATGCCATCAAATAACCCAGATTTATGTTTAGAAAGGTCGGGTGCTGGCCAAAGTCAAGAAAAGTATACTGAGAGGAAGAAGGAGAACAGGAATAGGAGGAGGATATGGAATATGTAGCTAATTGACTCCATGAATGACCTGGATACCACTGCTGAATACTTTGATCAAAGATCCCGTACAAGAATCCTAATCAAAAGAGGGGAAATGCAGAACAGAATTTCAAATTCTGATGGACTCCAGCCTTTCTGGAGCCATGAAAGTTGGATGAACCCTGAAACTATTACCCTGAGATAATCTTTAACCCTTAAACCAAAAATATATCCTGTAGTCTTCTTAAAACCAAACAAGAGTTTAGCTCAATTAGTAAAAAATATCTGCCTTGAGCTCTATGCTCTTTTGAGAACTATCTATATGGGATCAAACTGATAACAGCAACTAAAAAGATTAGACAAGAACCTCCCAACAAAAACCAAATTCACTGATATCAAATTGATTTCGACTCATAGTGACCCCTCCTTGCGTTTCCGAGGCAGTATCTCCACGGAAGTAAGTTGCCCAGTCTTCCTTCCGAGGAGTGGCTGGTGGGTTTGAACTGGCAGCCTTCTGGTTAGCAGTCAAATGTCTTAGGCATTATGCCACCAGAGCTCCCAGATAGGAACCTTAGGTGGCAGTAAATTTATGCTCATGGGGAAGGAACAACTCAGAAAAGGAAGGTGAGAATGCTTAATCAATGTTATTAAGTGGTACATGCAGAAACTGCTGAATTGCTGTATGTCTTCTATGTATATCCTGAACAACAACAAAATACATAAAATTTTATATATAGATTTTAAAAAAGAACAGTTCATTGCCTTTGGTTCCTTCAATTTCTGCCTCCTTCCCAGATAATAAAAAGGTAAGAAAACCTTAGAGATGGTAAATCTCATGTAATTTAATCTTTACCAACTATTATCTATGCATAGTAATGTGGTACACAAAATCCTAATAGGAAAGGGAAAATTGGCACTCATTCTGACCAAATTCCTCTGGTCAATGCTTCATCTCTCTCCCTTCAGCTGTTTGCATACAAACTATGAAAGACCAATGCATAATTATTTGAGGCTTGCTCTCCTTTCCTTAAAGGTACAGGATTGGGAGACAGTACTTAATTCAAGGGTGTCTTTAAGAAGATCAATGGAATAAGACCTGGCTTGTTGGCATTTCATAATGGTTATGAGCATGGGCTGTGGTATCATCTGAACCAGGATTTAAATCTGGGATTTAATAATTGCTAGCACTGTGACTCTGGGTAATGTAATTTTGCAAAGCCTGGTTTCCTCATCTGTAAATATTTTCTATCCCTCAAGGATGCTATAAGAATTTAATGAGATAATGAATGTAAAGCTTCTAGCACAATATGTAGCACATACTAAGCTCTCAATAAATGTTAGTTACTATTGCAGCCACTAGTACCAAAGAACACCTGGCTATGTTAAGTTGTGGCTCTGAGTGGAATAACAGAAAAACCAGTTATCACTGAGTCAACTCTGACTTATGGTGAACCACCCTCCCCTCCTTGTTTGTCAGAGTAGAAATGTGCTCTATGGCTGATTTTTCTGAAGCAGATTGCCAGACCTTTCTTTTGGAGGCCCCTCTAGGTAGACTCAAACCTCGAATCTTTTGGTTAGCAGTTGAGTGCATTAGCTGTTGGTACCACCCAGAAACTCCTGCACATGAATATTAAGACCCATATGGCCTAAACATGACATGATCCAACCAAGGCTTTTATGCCTCAACAGGCACACAAAATAGAAAAAAAAAAAAAAAAACTTGCTTAGTTCCAAGAAGTTGAAGGCTGTGGTAGAAACAAGATACTGCCATCTGAATGCCACAGTGTACATCCCAGGCAGCAGTAATTTGGGAGTAGGGATGCCAAAAAGGCAAGCAGGCTAAAGGATAACAATGAAATGTAACAAGTCTTTGGGAAAAAGACAAGAATGCCTCATTTCCCTCTTCCCCGGTTTTATACATCTCCATCAACTAATTGAATATGGCAGTTTTCTTTTCATGGCTGCCAGACCCACAGGCCACCCAGACTCATGAAAGATGGCGTTGGCTGTTCAGAGACTGGGTCACTGATGCACTGACAGATCAGCTTAATTTCTTGAGCTGCTTCCAAGGCCTAGGAGGGAAAAGCAGGCATGGTCTTCTGTCTGTGGATATCAACATCCCATCCCAAGGACTTGGTGGACCTTTAGGCCAATGTCATACTCTGGCAAGAACTAAAAAGAGACAAAAGCTCTTATATATGTGCAAGAAAGGAGCTGCCTTATCCCAACTTAGTTGGCTTTTCAAATAAGTCTCTGGCACCACCCAACTGGCAATACAAACCATGTCATTATACTCCTGTGAAGGTACAAGTGATAGGGGAAGGGACTGGTAATTCTTAAATCCTAGAAAAGGAGCATTAAACATGGAGTCAAAAGTTCTAGGTTTGAATTTAATCTTTACCAACTATTATCTATGTGACTTGGAAGTCTATCACTTAAGCTCACTTGTTCTGTTTCTTTAACCAAAAAACAGGAATAACAACAGCAACCTCACAGGATTATAATCAAGTAATATATGTTAAGTTTACATACAAGGTATTTCATAAATGCTGGTTGGATCTGAATCTTATATACTATGTTTAGCTCAGCTACTTCTGAATACAGTTGTCAGAGTCTATGATATTTAAATGAGTAGGATAATAAGCTGTATTTTACCAGACCTCTGAGCTATGTCCAAGAGACCTGAGGTTGGAGAAGAAAAAGGGGATAATCATCATCATCATCATCACATGCACTCAAGATGAAAAATTTAGAATAAAAACCTAAATGACAAATTAATTATCTACAAAAGTTAACTAAGGAACCCCTGGTCTTTTTAAAAGAGCTAGTCAGAATCTTGGGCCACTATAAATTTGATGAGTTGATTGAATTTCTCACTTTCCAAGAGGCTGAAATATCTGAAACCTATATATCTGCCTGGGTTAAACAGAACCAATCTTAATAAAGTGATTCATGCTAGACGGTACTGAAGACATAACCAACTGAGGATAAACATTTTTAACTATTTCTAATGGATATGGTTTTCACATACTTTAAAAAAAAAAAAAAAATGGCTCCACAACAGAGGGATCAGAGGGAGAAGGAAAGTCAGAAACATGAGGAAGATATGGAATGTGTGGCTAATTGCCTCCATAAACAACTACTTCCTTTGCTATGAGACCAGAAAACATGATGGTGCCCATCTACCATTACTGAACATTTTTATCAAAGAGTCTACAGATAAAGAATCCTGATCAAAAGGGGAAAATTGTAGAACAGGATTTCAAATTCTCAAAGACTCAGGACTTTCAGCACCTATAGAGGCTGAAGGCCTGAAACTACAGCCCTGGGATAATCTTTAAACCTTAAACCAAAAATACCCTTGAAGTCTTCTTAAAACCAAACAGTAGTTGAACTTACCTAGTAAAGAATGTCTGCCTTGATTATCATGCTCTTTCAAGATCTATCAGATCGACAACAGCAACTCAAAAGATTAGATAGGAATATTAGGGGGCAGAGAATTTATGTTTAAGAGGGAGAAGCAACTCAGAAAAGGAGGCTGAGAATGGCTGCACAACTCAAAGAATGTAATCAATGTCACTAAATCACACACAGTAGAAACTGTTGAATGGGTATATGTTTTGCTGTGTATATTCTCAACAACAACAACAACAAAATAAGTTAAATTTTTAAAAAACAAATAAATAATAGGAAAGGTTAAGAAAAAAGAAATGACTACAGTTAAGAGAAGATGAAAAGAAAGAGAATGTGTCTGATATTGATTTAAAATATACTTTATAATAAAAACAGATAAAGTCCCAAGTATCAAAGAGTGTTGACTTCAGAGGATCAGTTACTGTCAATTTGTTGGGCATGGAAGTTGCTTGAATCCTAGTCTGATCTTTTCTATTAAACTGTAATCTCCTTGAGATCAAAGACTCAGCACAGGGTCTAGCACATGGATGGCATTATGATGTGATTGGAACAAAATAAAATGCTTTCTAAGATAAAAAGAGACAGAAAACATTATTCTCTGGTAATTCCAAGATCAAAACCAGTGCCTTCAGCATGAATGTGACTGTTATTTTCCAACTTTTCAGTGAAACGTCATCCCTGGCTTACCTGTTCCCATGATCAATTTTGGCTGTCACCTTCTTCTTGAGCTCTGCCAGTTCATCCTTGGGGAGTGTTCCCGACAAGATCTGGGACCGCCATTCAATCAGGCTATAAGTCATCTGCTGCAGTTGGCGGAAAAGTGTGGCCTTGTTGGTCTGAGAGGACAAAAAGAAGCGTCATGAGGATGGGAACAACTTCTGACTGATTGTTGTTATGTGCCGTGGAGTCAGACCCGACTCATAGCAACCTTTCCTTGGGTTTCCAAGGCTGTATCACTTTGGAAGTAGATTGCCCAACTTTCCTTCCGAGGACTGGCTGGTGAGTTTGAACTGCCAGCCTTCTGGTTAGCAGTCAAGTGCGTTAGGCACTATGCTACCAGAGCTCCTTCTGATTCATTATAAGGTGATTGTTGCTGTTGTTGTTATGTGCCGTGGAGTCAGACCTGACTCACAGCAACCCCTCCTTGGGTTGCTGAGGCAGTATCAATACAGAAGTAGATAGCCCAACCTTCCTTCCGAGGAGTGGCTGGTGGGTTTGACCCGCCAGCCTTCTGGTTAGCAGTCGAGTGCCTTAGGCACTATGCTACCAGAGCTCCATATAAGGTGATTATAAGGTGTTATTTAATCAAAAAAATTTTTTTCATACAGTAAGTTGGGCCCATTGAAGGATTTTTTTTTTTTTTTTTTTGTACTGATAGCAATTAAGAGAGCACTTCCTCCCTCTCCTACTGCAACTTTAAAACCACATAAGCAATTGTAGAATAGATGTTTTTGTTGTTGGGTGCTGTGGAGTCTATTCCAACTTACAGTGGAGTAGAACTGCCCCCACAGGGTTTTCTAGGCTGTAATCATTACAGAAACAGATCGCTAGGTTGTTTTCTCCCAGAGAGCGGCTGTTTGGTTCAAACTTCTTATTGACCTTTGGGTTAGCAGCTGAGTGTTTACTCATTGAGCCACCAGAGCTACTTGCAGATGGCTGGTCCAAAATCATAAAGGTATGAAATCATCTATGTACCCTAAAATTCTAACCACATTCCTCTTCTGTTTTAAACCTCTGAGTGAGGTTCACTGATACATAACACTGTAAGTTCCTTCACATTTTGGCTCCCACCCTACTTCACACCACCTTCCATCTCAAGTATCTATGCTCCTTCCATGTAAAACTATGGCCACTTTTCCTGAGCGCTCCTGACTCTCGCAACACAACACTTCCTCTACCTGGAACTACTTTGTCCTCTTCCTCCAAGGCCACCCTTCCCATACCCCTCTCACTCACATACTACATCAACTAGTTAATTCTGACTCAGCAAAAGGTCTAGTGCATGGAAGGCATTATGAAGTGATCTGAACAAAATAAAATGCTTTCTAAGATAAAAAGAGACTGTAAACAGTATTCTCTGGCAATTCCTTGAAACCCTAAACCTGGGTAAGCTGTCCATTCCATAGTAGCAAGATTTACTCCAATCGGAGTGGATCCGACACTAGATGACACTGACTTGTTGGACTCAAACTGGAAGCCCCTTTAAGACTGGAAGACTGTTGATTTGTGCATCCCTAGTACTTAGTAGGGAGCTCTGGTGGCGTAGTGCCTAAGGCATTTGACTGATAACCAGAAGGCTGGCGGTTTAAATCCACCAGCCTCTCCTCGGAAGGAAGACTGGGCAATCTACTTCTATAGAGATACTGCCTCAGAAACCCAAGAAGGGGTTGCTATGAGTCAGGACCGACTTGAGGGCAGTGAGTTTGTTTTTTTTTGTTTTAGTACTTAGTAGAGAGTAGGAATTCCTTAAAATGTTCTGAATGAAAAAAATAACTGCAGTTTCAGAGATTAGGGACAAAAGAAAATAAAATGTAAAATATTTTTAAAAAATCTGTTTTCTCCAGGAAATTTTCAGACATTAAATCATTATTATGGGCTTCAGTAGCAACTTTCTGAAACTGAACTTAATTAATTTACAGCCAACTGGCAGCATAGTGCCTAAGGCTAACCAAAAGGCTCAAAACCACCAGCCACTCATCGGAAGGAAGGTTGGGCAATCTACTTCCGTAGACATACCACCTCAGAAACCCAAGGAGAGGTCACTATGAGTCGGACCTGACTTGATGGCAGTGAGTTTGGTTTTTTTGGTTTGACAGTCATCTGCGCCACAATCATTTATAGGCCAAATAACATATATCTGAAGCATCATGATCTTGATTCTACATAAAGCATTGATTCCTCATAATTTTAGTAAAAGTCATTGAATATCTACTATGTGCTAGAAATAAAGGTCTTGCCTCCAAGGATCTAATATTCTAGAAGTAAAAAAGCATAAATAAGTAAATATATATACACACAAGAAAATCAGATTATGAAAAGTGCAGTAAGGAAAATAAATAGAGCAATATGATAAAGTATGTCTGGTAGGATCACTAGAGTGGTCAGGAAAAATGGTTCAATGTATCACTTTGGTATATGCATTTTAAATAAAAATCTGCATAATTGCACTCACATGATTTATACTATGATGGTTAATGTTGAATGTCAGCTTGGCTAGGCTATGATTCTTAGTGGTTTGGCACACACTGGACCAACTGCTCTTCCATATTATAATATACAGGCAGTACCTGGGTTACAAATGTCCAATTTACATACAACCCACAGTTAAGAACCAATCCTTGTATTGCCTATTACATTAAAAATCTGAGTTACATACAGTGTTTTGTAATAACAAATGGACACTACTTTGTGACATGCATCAAAACAATATTACGGTATTATTATGTTAAATATGTTTTAGTATAATTGGAAGTATTTCTTTAATGTTCTTTTATGCAAAGTAAGGTACACAATATACTAAGATAAACCTTTGATGGATGTTAGGTACAAACCATGCCTAACTCTTCCAACTTACATATGTTTTTGACTTACATACCTAGGAACAGAACTAATTCATAATTCAAGGACTTCCTGTAGTGGATTCACCTCTGCAATGTGATTTGATGTGGTCAGCCAAACAGTTCAAAGGGGAGTTTTCTTGGGGGTGTGGCATGTCTCCAGTATATAAATAGATGTTCTGAAAGGCTTTCTTGACTCGACACTCTTCTCATTACCTGATCGCTGGTTCTTGGGACATTATGAAACGAACCAAAGAGACTGCTGTCGAGTGGGACCCAACTCATAGTGACTCCTCCTTGGATTGCCGAGGCAGTATCACTACGGAAGTAGATTGCCCAACCTTCCTTCCGAGGAGTGGCTGGTGGGTTTGAACCACCAGCCTTCTGGTTAGCAGTCAAATGCCTTAGGCAATTGGGAGGCTAAACCTGCAGAAATCTTCAGCCTGCCACCTGATCTGATTTTGGATTCACCAGCTTCCACAAACCCATGAGCCAGCAGAACCCTCCACCCTGCTGCCTGACATGAAGATATTGGATTTATCAATTTCTGCAGCTACTTTATCCAGCAGAGGTGGTCAGCTTGCAACGTGACCCACAGATTTGGGACTTGGCAAGCTCCCACAATTACATGACTCATTTCCTTGAGTTAAACCTCTCATGTATTTATACACTTCATTGGTTTTTGTCCTTATGATAATAAAGGTTGTGTGACAACTTGGCTGGGCCATGATTCTAAGTGGTTTAGCAGTTATGATGTAGTCATCTCCATAATGAGATCTTCTACGAACAGCCAGTCAACTGAAAGGAGTTTCCTAAGGGGTATGGCCTGCTTCCAATACATATGGATGTCCTGGAAAAGCACCGTGACTTTTTGTTCAATCTGGATCCTGCATCTGGCTCATGATCATCTGACTTCCAGTTCTTGGACTTGAACCAGTGGCGTACCATACTGCCTGCTGATCTTGGGACTGTTACCTTGATAGCCCATGAGCAGGCTGTGTGCCACCTTACTTGCCAATCTTGGATTTGTCAGTCTTCAAAGCCAGCCCCTGCTATATTGATTGCCAATCTTGGGTCCATCATACCCTGCAACTATATGATTCAGGAGAAGCCTCCAGCCTGACATCTCACCCACAGACTTTGGACCTGCCAGCCTCTACAACTTCATGAGCCATTCTCTTGACATAAATTTCACTCTCTCTCTCTCTCTCTCCATACACACACACATACACATGTATGTACATATACACATGGTTCACTGATTTCACTTCTCCATAGAACCCAACCTAATACATTCCTCTCGAGAGTCAAGACTATGACATATTACTATGGAATAGCTGCTTTGCTACTTACAGATGATAAGTTATATTTATGTAAGCATGTATTTATGAAATCATAGTAAAATAGGATTATTTTCTACATAAACAGTACCCTCCCCCACCCCACTCCCAAAAAAAAGAAAAAGAAAGAAGTTGTTGATGACTGTACAGCATGTTTGTAGCAATCCCAGGGACAGATTCCCGGGCAAGGAATTGGCTGAAAACATCTAAGATACCTCCTGACCAACAGCAAACGTAGAGGGAAAAGTCTTCAGCCTAGAAGTGAGGAGACTGGAGATAACTACCGTATTTTTTCCATAAATAACATGCATCTTCTATGTTTGTCTGCCAACTGCTTCTTCCTACCCATTCAACCTCCCCCACCAACCCTGAGGTATTTTCCTGTTTGTTTGTTTTTTTTTAACATGTTGCTTTAAAAAAAAAAATAGCATAGGGTGTTTACAAAAATACATCCCAGGGGAGGGAGTGGTCGGCAAACAAACCTAGAAGGTGCATGTTATTTGTGGAAAAAATACAGTAATGAGATTAGCTGAGTGTGATAAAAACTCCAACATAAGTTCAAAGTTTTATGAGACCACAAAAGAAAAAGATGAATAATTCATTTATTTGTGATTGCAAAATAAAACAAAACAAAATTATGGTTGACTCAGTGCTGACTCATAGAGTCTCCCTGTGTTATAGGACAGAATTCTCCACAGGGTTTTCTTGGCTGTAATCTTTATGTAAGAAGATCCCTAGGCCTTCTGTAGTATTACTGCATGGTTTTGAACTACCAATCTTTAGGTTAGTAGTTGAACGGTAACCATTTGAGCCTCCTATGCTGATCTTAAAAATACAGAAAGCAAGCCCTGTTTAAAATTTTGGAACTACCTACTTATTTTTGTTTTTAGCATTTTCTGAATCATCTCCTTTCTACCAACCAATCTTTAGAAAAGTGGA